ACAAAAGGCAAGGAAAGGCGAAGGAGGAATCTGAGTCAGTAGAAGTGGATGAGCAGTCAGTCTCAAGCGTGTACAGCAGAGGAGACAAAGTGATAGGTGTCACTTGTATATCTTAGGTGGACACTCGGACATATCTCATCTCTACAACCATATGGACCCAAACACAAGTCATCCACCACAAATTGCTTCTTTTCATATCTCCATGCTTTTCTCTATAAATATATATGTTTGGATTCCCCAGGCCACAACGCACTGATTCAAACCTTCTCTGATAAGCTTCAAATACACAAGAAATATGGCAGGTGTGTTCTCTGTTAGGAGTTCAAAAGTTCGTTCATGGGAAAGATGTTCCAAGCACGTCAGGCAGCAGAGGACTCGGCTTTACATAATCTGGAGATGCACTGTGTTGCTCTTGTGTTGGCATGACTAGAGGAAAGATTATCAGAGCTCGGTGGCGCTCTGTTGCAGAATGAGTCTCGTCTAGAACTTTGATCAAGCACGGAGTGTGCATCTCTCTCTGAGTCTGAGGCAGGATCTAAAGTTCCAACTTTTGATGGCTAACCAAACCGATACAGTTCGCAATAGAAGTCAAATGAAGCTTGTATTATACCCTTTTCTTTTTTCTGGAGGCGCCTCGGAGAAAATCAATGGTGATGTAGTTTTTTCGTTTAGGAGAAAGAGGAACTTGATGACTGCCGAATATGTAAATTACATATCGCACGAAAAGTTCAAAGAAAACTAATCTTTCATGTTTCACCCTTTAGTTCCGTTTTAGTTTTTATTCCAGCGGTTTTTCTGAGAATGAAGCGTTCCGTTCCGATGGTGACTGTATTTTATATACACAAGTCGAAGTTGATGCTAGTCTTGCTTCAAGTTATGGATGATGATGTTCCATTCTATGACACGAGGCAGAGATTCCTTTCCATATTTTTTCCTTTTTTTGAATTGAGGGAACTCAATTGTGGTTGTGGCAACCCCGTTGGGCGTTTGCACATAACACATGTTGGAGACAATGAATGAATGAAAAGGCTTGGAATCTGATAGGTAGAAACTAGAAAGTAGAAAAGAAAACAGAGTAGAAGGCAGAGACAATTTTTGGTCTTAAAAATGACACCCTGCTGTGCTGTCTGCTATTCTCACACTATAAAGATGCCAACATTTTGCCTCTGCTGCCTCTCCAATAATCTTTCCCCTTCTGTTCTTCTGACTCTTTCTTTTTCATTATTCTTTGGTGATACTTTCTTTTAATCTTTATTTCACATTCCTATAGAATATAGTCTAATATTCTGCTTTCACTTGAGAGTTGAGAGAGAAGGTTCAAGTTTTTATTTCGCTTTTTTTAAAATTAAAATATTTGTGAAATTATTATTGTGTTCCATAAAAAAAAAAAAATCTGAAGTACTTACTATTACATTTTAAAACATAATACTTTTCTAGTCCTAAATATCATACCCATTTTATAGTAATGAATCTTATATTTAGGACTGAAAGAGTATGATTATAAGTTTTATATAAGTTGATATTAACTAAAAATTTAATTATATAAGTTCTAGTCCTTAAAAATGATTGTAATTTTTGATATGATTAAACTTCAATTTTTAAAAATCTCAATTGCTTAGATGTATTTTCCCATTTACACTTCAGTCTAAGTACATGGTTGTTCCATTTTACCCTTTTCTTTTCCCCATTAACAAAAGGTGGTGAAGACATCCATTGGAAAAGAGTTGTGTGAACTAGCTCTCTAAACCCAGACTCTGAAGGCATTTACCACAAGAAAACACTTGGTTAAGTCTGGAGAAAGTAAAATGAGAAAAGTCTGGAGATTGCAACTTCGCCGAATGGAAAATGCCCTCTGGGGCAGCAGAAAGACGTATAGTTGAAATGGTTCGTTGTTTGTTGCGAAGCATGATGGGCTAAGCCCAACTTAACAACAAAAAGAGTACAATAGCCCCAACTTATTCTTGGAGAAGGCTCGTTACAAGTCATGAAACGGTATTTCCCATGTATCCCTCAATTTCACTTACATAGATTTATCCAATCCTAAATAACAAATAATTTTTTATACTAAACACTCTTTTAATAAGTTTTTTCTCTCCCAATTCTTACCTCATACCAAATAAGACCTAAATTCTTACCTTATGTAAGGCCAACTAAATCTTATAACATCTCCTTAAAAAAAAAAAGATGTTAAAGAAGATTATGCCAAGTCCAACATAAAAAAAAGTGTGTAAAAAAAAAAACACAAAAAATGTCAAAGCAGAACGTAATTGCTTTCTAAAAAAGTATTTGCTTTTTCAATTGAACTAGCACGATTGCTTAAATGAAAGAATAATGACCCATGCCCAAACGCCCCCTAATCCCTCCCCCACGCACAGTAAATAATTGGATGTCCCACTACCCACTAAGGATCTGGATAATGTTAACCCAACCAAACGCCATATTTCTTTTTCTTTTTTTTTTTTAAACAAAGTCACACAATTCTCTTCAACGTTTCCTGTACAAAATAGCTGGGAACCAAATAGCACCAACCTCAACTAAATGCAAATATAGTTAAATGTACTAGAAGTTCAAGCTATCATCTGGATGTAACTAGCATATAAACAACAGACAAGAAGACATAGCTCATTGTTTTCTATCAATGAAATCCGAGGAGTTTACGAGATACTTAATTTGTTGGATCTACAATAGCTGGACTGCTATTTGGCGTCTCCTTCTGTCCTTTTTCCTTCCTAGCAAAACTCAGGAATTCAGCTCTTGATCTTCCTCTAAGACAATATCCCACTCATCATCCAGAGGAGCCTTATATTCAGTTTTCCCGCTTTCCACTTTATTCTCACTTTCGGAGGACAGTTCACCAGTTGAGGACGCTGGCTTGGTCTTAAGTATTTCAGACGAATCACTGTGATCTGAGCCTGCATCGGTTGCCAAGCTTTTGTGAGATGAACCTGACGAAGCTAAGATACAACTAGTCTGGCTTGAGGTGAAGGATTTGCTCAAGGGGAGATTGGCATCAAATTTTGCCTTGAGAATCCTGACGTCCTGACAAATAACAGAAATTTCTCCCCTGCAAAGTTAAATGAGCAGCAAGTATGTTACAAATTATGTTGAGATAACAAATCACAAAAATTCTGTTAGGTTACAATGAAACAGCAACGGGTGAAAGAAATCTCAAACAAAATGCATTCTTTTCCGTTCCAATTTCCAAAAGACAGAAGATTAGGGGAACTTGTAATAACTTATGAGAGAAGTTCAAGGTGATTAAGAAGGCAGCAATAATGTCTAGATAGCACACACAAACCAACAGAAAGTTTCGAGTAAATGAATCAAAATATATAACAAAGCAACAGCAAAGAGATTCCAATTAGAAAGACATTCCAATAAAAATGCATTCAAGTAACAGTTACAAACATAAAATAACTTACTGCAACATATCCACAACTCGTCCACGGTCAATGAGGAACTCCCGTAACTGCAGAGAAAATATAGAGAATCACAACATGTTAAATGTAAATTCCATATGACAAAATCATTTTAAAGCCGAGGAGCAATAGCAACCTTGGAGTTTTCTTCTGCTTCCAGTTGCAGTCTTGTTGATTCTTGAACTACAGTCTCCATGATTGCTTCCTGTTCAGCAAGAGCCTTTCTTGCAGATTCCTCCTTTTCCAACTTTTCCTGCTCAGCAGCTTTCCTCAGTTCTTCAGCTGCAGCTAACCGAACTCGAAGAGATTTGCTCATCTAAAAGATGGACAGAAAATGAATCAATGGAAGATATTAATACCTCCCAACAGTAATTCAAGCTCAGATTTCTAACATGCAAAACAATAGAATTCGTTCCATAAAAAACATTGCTAGGTCACATGCCTTCTATAGGAGACAAGCTGGCGATGGTGAAATGATTCTGACTATTTGGTCTCAACGAGTTGGTAAGGCACTCAAACTAAACTCTACTTGCAGGTTTCAGTAACACAAGAAAACTGACGTAAATATAATGGCTCTCCACGATCTTAAAATTAAGAGCAGAGAAAAAAAAATGCAAGGGTGACAAAAATGTCAGTACATTAGAAATGACCACTATGTTTATACCGTACAATAATGCGGAGGTGTGATTTGGGGTACATAAATTACAAGTCTAAGAAGATACAAGTCCTTCGAAGAACATATAAAACTAACACTGGAGCAACAAGCAATTATTCTTTTCAGACACGCAACACATGGCAGATCCAGAAAAAAGTAGTTTCAGAAAGGAAACAATGTATACAGAGAAAGGTTATGATGAAAAATTAGCAAATAAAAGGGGAGGGAGGTAGAGCACCTCATCAAGAATTGCAAGTGATTTATTCTTTTCATCTGACAAACTGAGCAAACGGGATTGAAGTTCCTTCATTTCAGTAGCTAAAATTGCCTTTTCTCCATAGACTTCTCCCGCATGCTGCCAAAACAAAGGCGAGAAATAATATTGTATTCATTATACATAAAACTGTCAAAGCTAGAAATCTAGTATTTTTTGCATGCTAGAAATTTCTTCCATAACATTGACTACCATGTCATTCGCTTCTTTTGCATGCATCAACATGTTTTTCAATTCTTCCACATTAATAAGAATCTCAGATCCTCCAAGAGCAGCTTCCATTTTGGCTCGTTCTGCAGCTTTCTCCTGAAGTTCCACTTCTTTCATTAAGCTGATAAGAGATTCCATTGACGAAAACAGGGTTTTCTGCATCATTGTTGAATTGTCATAAGACTCAAGAAGTTTTAACTAAGGTTCTTACCAGATTTCGACCTCCAAGCTATATTTAAATATTATTCTACAAATAAGTCTTGCAAGATGCTTGTCCATTTGCTCATTTATAAAATCATGATGACTTCAAGTCATTATCCTAACAATGATACATGCATAGGACGGATGTAACCGAGCCAAGGCCTAATACACTTCCACGTCATTAAGATATTGGGTGAAAGGCGTTCAATGTAAGCAGTGACTCAGAATGTTCTTAATTCTACTGCTTTTTAAAAAACAAAGTACATGTGCTCAATTCTGTTAATTGAGTCCTATGAATTTGATCCGAGGAAAAGTACAACAAAAAATGCTACAAGCAAATTATTATAAGAACATAGATTTAAAGAATATATGTATTATTCAATATATTATTAACTTGTGATCACATGCAACCCTGCCAAGATGTCTTCAACTTGCAACAAACGGACAGTCGCATGAAAATAGTAACTTCAAATGCAACGCATTGAAGACAAATTTTAATCAGTAGAATATCTTCAAACATCGAAGGCAAAATTAACAGGACATACTACTACATATGTCATTAGCTACAATCCTCCTGTAGAAACATGAAGGCTTAAAATAAAGACTACAGGTGTAATTTAGTGAAAGAGAGATATCAAAAGAAAATTTCATAATAAAATGACAGAATGATTTTTGTATTGAATGCAAATTATACAGAAGAATATGCAATATAGTCAGTGGCATTTGTAATTTAGAAATTGAACTCAAAAACTAACATTTATGATATCCTATATCCAAATATAGGAGTACAAAAGCAACAGTACCTTATTACTTTTAGCTTCATCAATGATCTCTTCAAGCAGATCAATTCTGCATACTTGGTTAGACTGGCTAACCACATCTTCCCCTCCAATCTCATCGTCAACATCACCGGCTTTACTCACAGAGCATCCTTGTTCAGAAAAAGAACAGGCACTCTCCATATTTATTTCTGCAGCAATAGGAGTGCTACGATCAAGTTCTGATTGAAGACTACATTCTTCAGAATTTGACATATGCCTTTGAGCTTGATCAACTGCTTCCACCTCAGAGCTTTCTCCCTCAGTCAAGGAAGGTTCATAATTCACTGATCTGTGGCTTATAGCACAGGTAATATCATCATGGTTATCAGCTGTAGGAATGGCAAAATAGTTCCCCTCGTTTCCATTGCCATTGTCATTCATGGGAGCAGGTTGCATTTCATGGCACATGCCAGAAGAAAACAGATTTTCACTCTCAACATCTGCACATTCTAGGTCATGATCAAAGCTTGTACTAGCACCGTGCTTCAAATCATTTGTTGCATTCACTGTAACCTTATCTGTGACATGTAAAGATAAGAATTCTCCAACCTTACCCAAGGCATATTGCTCCTCGCTTTCATTAATTTCGAGAAACTTATCAGTACTGCCATTGGAATTACAAGTATTTGGAACTTCAGTTACTTCCAAAATCAGCCCTTTATGTGGCTCAATAGAATGAGATGCAGTTTCTATATTTTCAGCAGCTACGGTTTCAACAAGCTGTTCATGCCTCAACATATTCCCTTGTCCAGCTATTTCAAAATGCAAATTGATCGTGAGCAATATATCAGTAAATCAGCTCAATGCAACCAAGGAAGATATCCATTAAGATACAAACACACACACACACACACACACACACATTCGGACAAGTAAATGTACCTTCTACATTTGCGACAGTTTCATACCCCTTATCACGTGGAGGAGTTGCAAGAGGGATGAACCTTTTAGACATTAGAGGAATGACTTCATTCAAGACAATTCCTGCGGCTAAGTCAACATCCTTAGAGTGCTCAATAGCCACAGCCCTGAGAATCCTGGCATCAACCTGTTCATTGCATTCGATCAAACATAGCCTATATCAGGAACATGAATCAATAATAAGCCTAGTACATTGCCAGATGACTAACTCATCCTCGAGCATAAGTACTAGCAGCATACCATTAGATTTTTAGTAGGACTAGATTTTTATTGATCATTTTTCCAAAAGCATGCAATTACCAGTAAGAATCAGAAATAGCTGTGTGCATGGAGAGGAGTTAAAGGCGAATATAGCAAAACACTGGTTCTCTACTCATCCAGAGCATCCACATTCATGCACCTACTATTAGATTAGATAATCCAGTGCATAACCCTTCATCTAATTTGTTTAATGTCTCCACAGTCCACACCCGTTAAATTTACCATAGGAATTCAGAACAACATAGAATAATAAACCCAGACGATTTAGCAACTAATCATAGAAAAAAGCAAGCTGAAAACAATTATTTTTTTCAATATATAACGCCTTGCCTGTGGAAATATCTCCTGCAAGCATTTGTAGACCGCGTTGAAACCCATCAGGAGCTGTTGACTGCAAGGTCCAAAAAAATAAGGAACTCGTTTTACGTTTAAGTTTTAGTAATGGAAACACATAACGTAAAAGTACAAAAAGCCATATATGCGAAATAATTGATTAGAACTCCCAATTCATTTAACAAAGACCCAGAGGGAAACAAACTAATTTCGCCGTTTTGGAGAATCAGACTAAAATATCACATATGCATGAAACCGCAACCCCCCCCCCCCGGGGGGGGGAGAAGAAACCCGTAAGAACAACTTCACCGTTAAGTTTAAAAACCAAAACACCCTCCGCCCCAAAAGGTGATTAGGAAATTAAAGAAGCACACGAACAGAACTGCTGACAAAATTCTCTAAAACCACATACTGTAAATTGTCAGGACAATTCAGATACATTAAATTAGGTATGGCCACCAAGAGAGAGGTAACGAAAAATCAATGCAGAAAAACCCTAAGTATTCCGTCTTGCCAGAACTATTAGCACGGAGAAAGGGTAGACTACATTAGAAAGCAGAATCGCTTAGACAGAGAATCACCACGAAGCTTCCCCCCTGTCAACCGTCTTAGGATTTATTAACTTTTCGATCGCAACCCAAGGAAACAGAGATAGTTTAATAGGGATCGCACAAACCTAAAGTGATGACAGTGGAATTCAGAAGGAGACCCGGAAGAAGCACACGAAAAAGACGGCACCTCAACTATTTGTAGTCTCTGTTTCTCGGAAAATGTGGAGACAGATGGAGCCAAGGATTATTGTTTTTTCGGGCCTTTGACGTTCGAGCTAAGGAATTGGATTTGGATATATGTGTCGTTTCATTATCATGCGAGGACATTTTCGTCAAAACAAAATGAGTTAGTCCAGAGTCCAGTCTACTTTCTTTCATGTTTTTTTTTTTTTTCCCTTTCCAGTTCTACAATTTCGCAATGCGCTGCCTAGACGATTGCCCTGTTAATTTTCTCTGCGGGGTTGAGAGCAAGCAAAGGTTTCAGGCTTTCAGTCGTCGGCCAGAAATAAAAATAAATCAGAATAAATTCGTTAAAAAATATCCCATTAAATTTGGAGAAAATCCTAGTGAATCGAGTATCCCTTTTTCTTTTCCAAAATCAGTTTAGTTTGTTAATTGAAAAAAGATTATGTTGTTACCCAAAAAAAACAAAGATTATGTAAGAAGTAAAACCATTATCCCTCCTATTTTTACCCAAAAAAATAACAATATCCCTTCTACTAAACAACCTTTTTAAATTGTGATCGTGCTACTTATATTTTTCATTAGACTATAAAGAAATAATAAATTTAAAAAAATAAAGAAACGATAAATGTAGTTAAGCTAATTGTTTAAACTGATAAGAAATTGCGGGATGTAACTAAAAGCCGCGTGGTGCGAAAACAAAGATTGGTCAAGCTGAAGAGCGAGGATAATCATGAAGGACAAGTGGTCGAAAACACCAGTTCTGGGGAAGATCAAAGACAAGAATATATTATTTTCCAAAATCCTAGATCGTCATTTTCATTTTAAGATTACAGGGTCTGTATCTTCATGCCGTCTTTCAACTCTCAACTAGTGATCACACAAACATAGTGGCGGCTCCATGCTTTTGTTGCCTGATTGAAGCTCATCGTTTATTGTCCAGAAAGAGGCTCCATCGATCATAGTAGGATCCCGGAGCTCCCATTGAATGTGAATTATCCTCCTCAACGTTCTTCAAAACTTTCCCTTGCTAGCTTGATTTCCCTGAAAAATAGAAATAGGATGGGTTCAGAAAAAATGTCTAAGAATTAGCAGACAGTTGGTCAATGTATGATTTCTCATTAACAACCATCAAAACCATCATGATTTTGTGAACTTCAGCGCATGGGTGCATAATGTCTCCACTAGAAGAGACAAAGATTTTTCTACCACAGGAACTGAGGCAGAACGTAAGTGTTTTAGTTCAAGAATAGAAAAAGAGGCATAAACTTGATTTCCATTCACAAATGACAAGTCTGTCCCCCAACACAATTGATTTCTATTGCATTGTTGAACTTACTGCGGGTTTGTGTCCAGGCAATCTCCGAGTAGATGGAATTCGTGCCACAGCGGCAGCAGCAGCCACACGAATTCTGCCATATTCATGATACATTCCAAACTCGATCAGTTATTAAAGCAACGAGAGAGATCTACACATATCAGAGATAAGTTCAATCTATTTATTTCTTGTGGACGGCTACTTAAGATTTTTATTCAAGAACTTGGCGAGAGAGAGCGGTGTGGATAAAATACCTTCTGTGCACATCAACATACACATCTGTTTCATCTACTATTTCTTCCTGCATTGATAAGAACATGAGAAATTATTTCTTCAGTTTAAGTGGATAATACAAGATGTGACAAAGTCCAAGTGAAAATTACCTGTAGGAGTTCTTCAAAAACATCTTCAAGGGTTATGATGCCAATAACTTCCCCATCTTCAAGATTATCAGGCAAGTGTTGAGTACCATTTTGTTGCTTTCTGGGAACCAGAGGAGGTTTGTCAATAGCAACAATGATATTTTCCGCTTTGTCAGAAGTTTTGGTTAGCAATGGCATTGTGAGTTGAGAATTGTGATTCATGACTTTGTCTTCCTCAAGTTTCCCATTTTCACCACCAGCTTGAGTGTTATTTCTCTCCTTGTTCACCTTAACTACAGCTGCCATATGACTACTTCCTTTCTGGAACTCATTCAGAATGTCATACAAAGGCATATCTGATGGAACCCTGCGTTAATGAATAAGAATTTTGTCTATAGTAAATAATAGTACATCAGAAAAGAAGAAACATTTGGTTAATGTGTTTCACTTTCGCACCTAGGAATTCTTCTGATAACAATAGCACTAACCGGAGTTTCTGTTTCGGCTCTCACAGTGAGAAGACTTTTCACCTAACAGGAGAGAGGTCATTAGCGGCAATGAATAATTTCATTTTCAAGCATTCAGTGTTGGTGATCTCACTTACTAGTAAGAGGCCAATTATATTACTGGGATTCCCACAATACACAGGAACACGACTATGACCTTTTGCAAGAATTTTCCCAATTGCTTCCCTGTCACATGAGGAAAAGCAGAAACGTACTTCAGCTGTAAGTTTACAAATATGCACAGAAACCAGCCATAGGAGAAGAGGAGAAAGAGGTTTGGGATAACACAAAGACGTTTAAAATGATATTAAACTAGCAGATGTGATGAAGAAAGATAAATGAAGATTCTGCGACTGCTATGCACATTTGAACAGAAAAAGCTCAGGAAAATCAACCCACCAATCCAACTTGGAATCAATATCCAAAGAAAAGGTTGATTCAATTGGTGTCATTGCCTCCTCTGCAGTCTGAAATACGAATATACGATGCATAATTGCACTAGAAAAAAAAGGTCGGTGAAAAATGAGGCCCTCACTGAAGTTCACATGCTAGTCCTATTCTATTTGCCTCTCACACCCAAAAAAAAAAAAAGAATGTTGTTCAAAGCAGAAGCTACCTTTTCAGTAAGATCTAGTGCTCCGCTGATAATTGTTGTCTCGTCATGTGTGAGTTCGCCCCCTTTACCAGCCTAAAACGGTCAAAATTATGGATCAATTTATTCGGAAGATACTTTACTTTTTAATGCATTACTTCACTTAGTGTGAGTCATCATTCTCTTGTTCCAATGTAATACTCACATGACTTCTCATGCCAACCACATGGTAATGACTTGAAGGCACTATAATTAGCACAGAAGGAGATCCAACCGTTGATTTTATAAATGGATTACCTCTTGACTGTGGATTGAAACGAGGGCCTTCAATTGTGATCGCCTAAACAAGGCATCATTGTGTCCAAGAACCGCATCCAGAACCTGTGAGCATGGAGTTGCAGCATACATATGCTCAAAAAAACCATGAGCTTTTCAAGTGCAATTGACCAGGATCCTTGTGCTTTATGTAACATTAATCGGTTCAAGCAAACTTGCAAATTTCGAGTATTACCTTTCCAATAGGATAAGCAATTGGATAACAGATTATCATCAGAATGCGCACCACCCCTACGAAATTTGCACCAACGTAGAGCCTAAATCTTGAGCATATAGCTTGTGGGATAACCTAAACTCAAATTTCACACAGTTGACAGACATAAAATGCTTCAATATCTGTGTATAGTGCAAAAGGGGTTGGAAAAAAAATTGTATATTTTACCTCTCCAAAAGCCAGAACAAATGTTACAGACAGTATTACTGCTAGAAAAGGGTGAAAAATTTTGTCAAGGTAAATTGGAAGTGCCTGCAGAAGAAAAACGGAACATACAGGTAGAAAAGAAGGATTAATATCAGAGATTGGAAAACCAGATAAACAGAAAGAGGTTTAAAGTATATTTTCAGTTCAATATCTGTCAAACAAAGCACATTTCAGCTTCTTTGTACCTGACTGACTGATAACTGACAATCTAATAACAATGTCTCTCTTTGAGGGGAGAAGGTGCCATCTCATAGCTAATGACCCTTACTCTAGGAGCATTCGGTAATTTTCATATTTCAGTAACAACGTGTACTAATAAGCTACGGAACAATTGAATGACAGTTTATGCTTGATGTGATCCAAGAACTAGCTAGAGAATAGTGTTATAACTTCAGAGTTGCGCAGAGGAATGTGTTGATCATTCAAAATATTCATACGGATATATGCCAGCAAAATAAAGATGCTGATTATTATCTAGGTACAACTGTTTGCACGTACCATAGTCTCTCTCCCTCTCTCCCTCCCCCCCCCCAAAAAAATACTGAGGAATCAGTGTTCTGGCCATTTGCTTCGAAGTCAGAAGCAAGATAACTTTCTAAGTATCTAATTATGATGAATATAATTAATATAGCAAAAAAGATAGAGCAGAAGTAAATTAGGTTATGATTTACGAATACCTCCATGGCACAAGCATTGCAAAGAAGCAGAGTAACGAGCAGCTGATGCTGCTTCTGAATAACTGGCAATATAGCAGCTGTAAAAGGGGAATAGAAAGTAAAAGACGGCTTCATTAATAAACTCTCTCGCATAGCTTACATATATACAAACAGAGCAACAAATATAGTTAAGGACGAAGGAGGTTGACGAACCTGCTTGTTTCTTCTCTATGGAGGTGCCACTGCGCTGGAGAATTTCAAGGTCAACGATGCCCAAAGACATAAGGCCGAGGGTGAGACCAGACATGATGCCAGCGAAGAGGACGAGAAGGCAAGAAATCCCAGCATAAACGAACCACCATAACGTCCCGAACTCAATATCCTCAGCATCGTATACGATGTGGTCCGGCTGGAACCTCGTCGTCCCTCCAAGCTTCAATCTCAGGGAATTCAACGGCAACATAGTAAACGAAAACGATGATGAAAAAAAAAAGACCCAGATGAACTAAGGGGCCACACTGGGGGGATTAAATACAGAAGAGGCATGAACATCATTGCATTTGCACAATAATTTACCCCTATGATCCTGCCCAGTGAGTGGGCTTCAGTAATTCTCTACCGACTACCGTTTGATAATGGACGTGGGCTCCACTGTCCCATGCTGATAAACGGTCGACGCTTGTGCGTTTCGATTGTGTGCTCCGCAAACTGTCATTTTTCCAATTACGCTCGTGTGACAGGGTATGAGAGCGAACCAATAATGTACGTTTATGCATATGGGACATTACATTCCATTGTTTTCTAGCCAATGTAAGTTAGTACCGAACTCACGCCGCTTGGCCTGAATAAGCTTCCAACTTGCACATCCACATAACTGTATTGTCCCAACTAGATTATATTTTTGTCATCAATTTTTTTTATTTGATTTTTTTCCATTTCAAGTATTAGTAATTTTTAGCTTAGTTTAAATTAATAGTGATGAAATCATCACTAAGTGTGAGAGAAGATGGTTGATGAGGTTTTTCGGTAATATGCAAGGAGTTTTCCAATAAAATTCTATGCTCCTTCATCCGATTCTATTTATAAGATTTTAAAATTTGAATTGATTTGATCTTTTTTATAAGATTCTATTAAGGATTGTCTAAACATGAAATGTATTTTTATCAATTTTACTCTTAATTAATTACCTATTCGTTTTCATCCTTTTATCTTATAACTGTTATTTCTCTCATTAAATAAAGACATATTTAAAAGAATTAGGTTTAATTTTTATATATTTATTATTTTAAACTAATTTTAACTATTTTTTTAAATCGTATAATTTAATTATATGAAAATAGCAGGGCGAGCACGCGATCTTTAGCCATTATTGATTATTTCACCATGGTGTGATTGTAGAGGTGGATGACTTGAAGCACGTGCCGACGGCCAAGAAGATCAGAAATTATTTTATCTTTGCACCTGCCTTTTGATGAAACGAGCATGATTACTATTTGTGGATGAAAAAAAGCTCACCTAACATCTCCTTTTGCTATTATTATCACTATTTTATCTTTTAATAGGGAACAGAATGCCCGTTTCCCTATATTTTGGATCCCATTCCGGCGGGCGGCAGACCCTTAAACTGCGAGCAACCTTACTCCCTGAGCTGTTTTAAAATTGTATCAGGACGCAACATAAGGCTTTGCATGAGGGTTGCTCAAAACGGAGTTTTGAAGCCCAGCCCAATATGGGGACCAAAAATTCGATACTCCTTGCAACCCTTTACCTCTTTCTTCTCAGGCTCTTTAATCTTCTTAGAACGGGCAAAACGAATTGAGCGCGCTTCAATAAGTATAGAAGTTCAAAATTATTTTAGTTTAGAAAGGACTTTTAGATGAGCCCTTGCACCAAAAAAAATTTAGGGGTGTTTGGATGCCTTTTAGAATCATGGCTTTTGAAACCATGGTTCTAGAAAATCTAAACACCTCATTAAAACCCAATAATTGATTATTATGCCAAAACATGGTTTCAAGGCTAAAACCATGGTTTTTCAAGAAGCTAGGTGTTTTGGATTAATTTTTTTAGAAATGATTCTACAGAGTTCAAGATAAGTATGTGATAGAAATTTTGTCTAAATTTATATGAAAGCACTTCTTTTAAATGCTTTTAAGAGGTCCCAACTTTTTGGGTGGAAAATCAAGATTTTATCAATATATATATACATATAATTGTTAATTAATTACATAAGTAATAAATTGATCTAACATATGTACATTCATTATTTATATTTTTTTTGGTAATTTGCATATTAAAAAAGTAATTTAATAACATTCTCATTTTATCAATTTTTTTTTCATCGAATCTATTCCACTCAAAATCTACTGCTTAAAATCACTTTTATCACTTTTTTTTTTAGAATCTATTCCAAAAGTTAATTCAAACACCATCTTAAACTAATTCTTGAGGCGGTTTTCAAGAATTTTTTATATTTTAATGTTGAATTAAAATATGAAGATACAATTTGCTAGATATTTATTCTGGGCGATGAAGATGAAGTTGACAAGATTCTTGACTTTACGTGAAGACAAGGATAAAAGAATATATAATTTTGGATCTGCTACGCAGTAAGTACTTTTAATTTTGGATCATGGGGTTCGATGAATGACTCTCTTTTTCCTGTTTCCCGAGCTTCTTTTTTGTCACCTATGTTTTCCGAACTTTGCTCTTTGAATCTGTACCCTGTAATGATTTTGCTTGGTTGATGAGTACTTCGGGGAATATTTTGGCAGTTTGGCGTGTCCTGCGTAATATCTCCCACATCATGCATCTATTGTTTTTTTTTTTTTTCATGCTTGAAAAGCTGTGCCTTTGAAAGTTGAGCTTCACTTGAGATTTATATATTTCTATTGCAAGGCCTGCAAAAAATTCTCTCTACAAGTAGCAGTCTAACTAAGAAAGATAATGGCGCTCGTTCCTGCTGGGAAAAGCTTAGCTCGTGCTCCTCTCTCTACGGAGGAAAATGATCTGCTTGTGAGGAGCTCAAAGAAGATCAAAAATAATGCTATGGAACAAGAAGACTGCTCAAACGAGAACCAATGGCCAAAGCTCGGGACTACCCAGTTTCCTGCTAATAAAACAGGACTGACATTTGCTGAGAAACTGAAAGGTGTTACCAACCAGGATGACCATTCTGATGATGACAGGGATGAGAATGATGATCTATCTGATGATAATATGTCTGAATCTCAGTCGGAGACAGAAGCTGATAAGAGAGAACCTTTAGTGAGAATAAGGGAAGACCCGAAGAGAAATTTTCCTACATTCCATTTTTCCGGTAGATTGAGAAAACGTCTCTATAGGGCGTGGAAAAAGGCAGTAATTGTGAAACTCCTAGATCACAATATAGGCTACAAAGCGCTAGACTCCAAGCATTATGGGCTAAACGGGGAATCATCAGTTTGATTAACATTGGCTATGGCTATTTTGTAGTCAAATTATCAAATAGAGAGGATTATTTTAATGCTTTAACAGAAGGCCCATGGATGATCTATGATCATTATTTGACAGTAAGACCATGGGAGCCTAAGTTCAATCCTGCAAAAGCTAAAATAGATAAAGTGGCTGTCTGGGTTCGTTTGCCAAGGGTCTCATTAGAGTATTATGATGAGGAGGCTCTCACTATTATTGGAAACAGGATAGGGGAAACAATCAAAGTTGATGTTAATACTTCTTCCCAGCTACGAGGACATTATGCACGAATATGTGTAATGGTTGATTTGGGTAAACAACTAATGTCAGGCTTCTCAATCGATGGTGAGGACTACTACTTAGAATATGAAGGGCTCCACGCTCTTTGTCTGAACTGCGGGGTATATGGGCATCGCAACGAGACATGTCCATCGAGAAAATCTACAGAGCAAAATGACAGCAACCAGAATAGGGGCGCTGAGGGTGTACAAAAAGCTGGAATGGATATTGATGGAGCTGGGAATAATGATCAGGAAGTATGGAAGGTTGTGCAAAAAACCGGCGACAGAGGAGGGGGAAAGAGAAGGCAGGGGGAGCTTTCCGGCAACCAAGCTCAGGGACGAGGTTCGAAATTCTAGCTGACGTGGAAAATAATCAATATAATTTAACTAAAGAAATAGAGGATAATGCAATCCCTGCATCTTCGGTCCTGGAGAACGTACCATTTGCTAAGGCTACCACCACTAATGTACGATTTGTGCGTGAGACAAAAGATGTGGCGAGTAAGAGACGTAACAAGCAAAATGGCGCGGCTGCAGGGGTGGTCCCAGAGAAAGTGACAGAAGCCGTTAAACGGGTAGAGCAGGGGAGGAAGGAAAAGAGATCTCGTGAGATGTTCGTGAATCATAAGAGATCAAACGAGTTATTGATGTTGACACTGGATGAAACCGAAGAAGAGGGCTCAGCTCGAAGGAATTTTGGTGAAGGAGATAATAACATCTCGAATGAGAACATTGGGGAAGAGCAGATGGATTATATCGAAGATACTGCACCCCTCCCTCATGATCCGGGTGAAAATTCAGAGATGGACAAAGGGCCTGAGGTACAGCAATGTGGGCCAATGCTGGTAAACCCATCTAGTGATGAATTTGAGAAGGAAACCCAAAGTGATGGGCCTATGGTACCTGAAACCCAATTCTAATTATTGGGTCGTGTTAATTGGGCTCTGGATCCGTTTTCTTTTTAATGTTTATGGATCAAATAATGTATTGGAATATTAGGGGGGTGGGTGGTAACAACTTCACACGGAATCTGAAGGCTATTTTTGGAAACTCAAAACCTGCGGTCCTTATGCTTTCAGAAACAAAGTGTGGAAATGATTCAAAATTACAGCGTCTATACTCACTGGGCTTCAACAGTCTTTTCTCTGTTCCAAGTACTGGTCGGTCAGGGGGTCTAGCGGTTGCTTGGAAGAGTGACTTTGTTCAGATTTCAGTTCATAAAAGTGATAGACAATTTCTACACTTAAAATGCAAAGTCGCAGGAAAACCTTCTTTTTTCCTTACTGCCATTTATGCAATTCCCCACTCACAGTTCCGGCAAATTCTTTGGGAGGAGTTGAAACTATTATCCCAAAGTATCTCTGATCCATGGGTGGTGATTGGGGATTTTAACGACATTGCGAAGGAGTCAGAACGGATAGGTGGAAGACATCCAAACAGCAACAGAATGAGTTAGTTTAATGACCGAATTAAAGAGTGTAGGCTGACAGATTTAGGATTTAAAGGTCCTAAGTTTACTTGGAAAGGGCCAAAGATGATGGGGTGCCCACGGATGTATGAGAGACTGGATCGAGCCTTGGGCAATGCTATGTTCATGTCTTCTTTTCAAAATTATTTGATAAAGGTATGTGCTCGAACAAAATTTTCTGACCATAATCCTTTGAGTTTGTGTCTTGATGCTGAAAGATTGAATTTTAGAGGAAACAAACCCTTTCGTTTTGAAGCTATGTGGATTGAGCATGAGAATTTCAATAGTTTTGTGGAAAATGCCTGGAAGTGTGATGATGATATTAATAGGAGTTTGTCTCACTTTAAAGATTCCATCCTTGTATGGAATAAGGAAGTATTTGGCTTTGTAGAATTGAAGAAACGGAATATTTTTGCTAGATTGGAAGGTATTCAAAAGTCTCCAGCCTATCCTCTATCAAAATTCCTTACTGATCTTGAATCAAACTTGCAGTTGGAATTAGAGGAGGTGTTAAAGTTGGAAGAAGTCAAATGGTTTCAAAAGTCTAGATCAAATTGGATAACTGAGGGAGATAGGAATACTCGTTATTATCATCTAAAAACTCAAAAGAGGAGGAAATGGAATAAAATTCTTACTCTGAAAAATGAACAGGGTAATTGGGTGGATGATGATGCTGAACTGAAAGAAATGGTTGTCGATTATTTCAAACTTTTATTCTCTTCGAATGACACCAGCTATAATGACCTAGAAACGAGGGCCAATTTTCCTAAGGTTGATCGCAATCTGATAAATGATATGAGTAATTTGCCTACTGATGAAGAGATTAAATCTGCGCTGTTCGCTATGGGCCCCTACAAAGCCCCCGGATTCGACGGATTCTCCCCTATCTTTTTTCAACACAATTGGAAGGTGTTGGGCCCCTCTATTTGTAGCTTTGTCAAAGGCATTTTTCAGGGAAGTCTAAAAGTGGATGACTCAAACAAAACCTTGATTTCTCTTATTCCAAAAAGAGAAAATCCTCAGCTAGTTGCTCACTTCAGGCCTATCTCTCTTTGTTCAGTGCATTACAAATGCTTAACTAAAGTTATCACCCACAGACTTAAAGCAGTGATGAATGATTTAATTTCCCCTTTCCAGTCCAGCTTCATCAAAGGAAGACTTATACAGGACAACATTATCATTGGTCAGGAAGTTCTTCATGTAATGAGTAAAGCCAGAGGAAAGAGAGGGCTTATAGCAATGAAAGTTGATCTGGAAAAAGCCTATGATAGGCTTAATTGGAACTTCCTTCGCACTGTACTGTATGATGTGGGTTTTGATGATAAATTTGTGAATCTTGTTATGGATTGTGTAACCTCTGTAACCTATAATGTGTTGTGGAATGGATCAACAACTGAGTACTTTGCTCCTATGAGAGGTCTTAGACAAGGAGACCCTATCTCCCCCTTTCTTTTTGTTCTTTGTATGGATAGGTTATCCCATCTTATCTGTGATGCAGTTGATGAAGGTAAGTGGAGAGCTATTTCCATTTCCAAAGGTGGCCTTTCTATCTCTCATCTAATGTTTGCTGATGATTTATTGCTCTTTGGAGTTGCTTCTGAGAAACAAGTTGCTTGCATGATGGAAGTTTTGGATCAATTTTCTCAGGCTTCAGGCGAGAAAGTTAACAGAGATAAATCTTCCTTATATTTCTCTCCTAAAGTTGATGCAAATGTTAGAAGAAGGATTAGAGAGTCAACACAAATGAAAGTGTCAACAGAAATAGGGAAGTATCTTGGTTTTCCCTTAACAAAAAGTAAAAAACCTACAGCAAAGTTTCAATATATAGTTGACCAGGTGAGAAACAAGTTAGCCAATTGGAAAGCGGAATGCTTGTCTACTGCAGGTCGCATCACTTTGGCTAAGTCTGTATTGAGCTCTATTCCTCTTTATCCTATGCAAGTTTCCCAAATCCCTAAGAAGATTTGTGATGAGGTGGAAAGACTACAAAGAGACTTCATATGGGGTCATAACCGGGATGAGCAAGGCTATCATCCTATAGGTTGGCAATCTGTTATTCTTCCTAAGTCTTATGGAGGCCTGGGTTTCAGGAAACTTGCTTCGATGAATTCTGCTTGTGGTGCAAAGTTAGCCTGGAAATTAATGATAGGGGAAAGAGGTCTGTGGGCTGATGTACTGTTTCAGAAGTATATGATGCATAATGATGAAAATCTATTTGATGCTAGGCCAGGAGATTCCAGTGTTTGGAAATTTATTTGCAGACAACGAGAATTGATTGAGAAAGGATCTATGTGGCAGCTGAGGAATGGGAAATCAGTCAATTTTTTTAATGATTTATGGCTGTATCATGATGTGAAAGTTAAAGAACTCTGCTTAAGACCTCTGTCTATCGAAGAGGACAGCAGCGTGGTGGCAGACTGGATGATTTGTGGTAACTGGGATTTTCATAAGCTGGAATCTATTGTTAAGCCTGAGGTTTTGACAAAACTTAAGGGAGTAATGCCTCCTTTTGATTCTGCTGGGGAGGATTTTTTAGTATGGAAAGACTCAAGCACTGGTATGTTCAGCATCAAGAGTGCTTATTTTATGATGGAGGAGAATCCCCAAACTCTCTATAGTCCAATCTATAAGCTTATTTGGAAATGGAGAGGTGCTGAAAGGATTCGGGTATTTATTTGGAGAATTTTCCATGGTAGACTTCCTACTAATCTATGGAGAAGTAGATGGTCTCAGTGTTCCCCTATGTGTTCTTATTGCTTTCAAAATGCTGAAAGTATTCTACATGTTCTTAGAGACTGTGCCTATGCAAGATCAGTGTGGGATGTTTTAGTAGACAACAAACAGGTGAAAAGTTTTTATTCTGGTACTTTAAAAGAGTGGATTGCTCTAAATCTCAAGGAAAATATGGGTTCTGATAGAAATAATAATTGGAATCTGACATGGGGAGTTACTGTTTGGAAATTGTGGCTCTGGAGGAATAAAGCAACTTTTGATGAGACTTTTGTTAGACCTGCTAATCCAGTAGCTATAATCAGAGATGGATGGCCGAACCTCACTTTTGCTGCTACAAAGTTGCATTATGGCATGAGAGAACAGCCGTTGGACAGCTCAACTATTTGGAAGCAGCCATCAAAAGGATGGATTAAAGTAAATGTGGATGGTGCTGTGTCAAATAGCTCGAAAAAAGCTGGCTGTGGGGGATGCATTAGAGACCATAATGGAATTTGGATTGTGGGTTTCTCGCTTCAACTCGGGTCGTGTAATGTTTTGGAGGCTGAAACTTGGGCTATTTTCAAGGGCTTGAAGTTAGCTTGGGATTTTGGATTTAAACGCGTTATTATTGAATCCGATGCAAAGAATCTGATTGAGTCTATTAATCAGGGGAGGAACAATCAGTATTGCAGCCTGTTAATGATGCAGACACTTGAGTTATTGAAGTTTGACTGGGAAGTGCAGCTCTGCTATATCAGTAGAAATGCTAATGAAGTTGCTGATAAATTGGCTAAAAGAGGACTATCAACCTCATCATATTTTGATACGTGCCCGAGCAGCCTGAGAAGCTTAGTGGAGAAGGATTGTGTGGATTAATCCCACTTTAGTCCAGTTTTTTATGTTATTTTCAGTTGTACCAAAAAAAAAAAAAAGTAGCAGTCTAACTTTCATTTCAATTCTATCTACCTGGGAAAAATTCCATCTTGGATCTAGCATGCCACTTACAAAGAGCCACCTAGAAGAGCCATTTGCCACATATCCATTTTTAACGCAGTTTTTGCCATGCCATGGTCCCTACGCCAATTTTCAGATGTTCAGGGATCAACGACTTTTGGGAAAAAAAGAAGCGTGCATTAGGAGGGGTGAGTTTTAATTGAAGAAACGAACCATGGGAGTTTGGGACTTTGATTGGGTTGAGTACATGGGCATTGTTGTTATATATTATTTTCTTTGCGAAAAAATAAGTATCCTCCTATTAGAAATAATCCTATTCGAGATACTATCAGGCACTAGATGTGAGCACCTCTCCCAGCAGGAATTTGAATCTTTGTTATTTATTACTCCTCCGGTTCTTAATATAAGATTTATTTAACTAATTTGATTAAATTAAAAAAGTTAGGTAAGCTAGTTAATTTTAAGAAATATGACATATTTTTCCTAAAACACCAAAATCATCTTTCTTAATATCCTCTCTCCCTCTTCTACTTAATTATGGCTGAAGGAGTATCATAGGGGTAATTTAGAAAAAATAATAAATATAAAAAATAGATCTTATATTTATAATTAAAATCAACTCAATAATCAGGTCCTCTATTAAGGGTCAGAGGAGTATTTTGTTAAAAGCAAAATGCAGCTTTGATTGGGCTCACTAATGAAAACAAAATAAGGCCTTTAAGCTTTGGGCCCGTTTAATTGTAGTGGATTCTCTTGTCTCTGAAAGTTGAACTATGAGCCCATCTTAGTTTTGTGCTTTTGCAAGAAAGTCCCCTGACTTGTGGTTATCTTTTTGAAGTTTGTTTAGAGTTCCGTTTAAAATAAATTTTTAAATAAATTTATATAAATTGAAATAAAATTTTTTTTATATATATTTGTATTACGTAAATTATATTTCAAAAGCGACTTATAAATTCATTCGCTCGCTATGTTCATAAGGGCATGGTGGCGGTTGAACGGCTAGCCTGCTCGTCCGCATCAGGTATGGTCAACAAAACTCGCCACATTGTCCTTCACAAGCTAGATGCTGCTTTTGCTCATCACAAGTTCAATCTTCACGTGAAAAAATTCATAAGTAGCCTCAAAGTAGTACGGAGAAAAGACCATGAACTAGACCTGGCAATAGAGAAAGACAAGCGGCATAAGCTCAGCACTCCTATTGTGAAGGAGGTTCTGAATGAACCGGGTCAAGTAATTTCATTGCGATATCTTGAGAAACAGCGCGAGAGGATGTCTTAATTTCAAAATTACAACCTTTTTAAACCAAAACCCTCGCCTGTTTGATGTCTGCCATGATCGTATCAAACCAAAATCAAAGCGTGTTTGCTTTCCAAGAGTAAGCGATCGGCTTAGAAATTTTCTGGAAGAAGACAAAAGGATTTACAGAGAAAACGAGCTCTTAATTGTGTCGAAGCTATGTATATTGTTAATGATTTTGAAGGATAAGGTGATTAGCGCGGATAAATTGCTTCACGTGAAAAGGGAATTTGGGGTCCCGAATGATTTTTTGATTAATTTGATTCTGAAGTATCCACAGTATTTTAGGTTAACTAGGTGTCCTAGGGAGGAAAAATCATTTCTTGAATTGGCCTCCTAAAACCCCGAATTTGCAAAATCTATGATTGAGCAAAGGGTTGAAGAGGAGACGAAATTGATGAGGATTATGGTTTGGTCAAATTTCTTCGTGAAGCTTCCACCAGGAGAAGATGAGGGAGCGGACTGGAGATTGGACTGAGCTTGATTACATATCGTTATACGAGGATGTGTCCCATTTGGATCAAGCATCAAGAGAAATGGAGAAGAGGACCCTTTGAGTATTTCACGAGCTGCTTTCTCTTCTGTTGTACGAAAGGATTCCAGTGCCAATATTGGGAAAGTTTTACAATGACTATAGGTTTTCAAACGCATTTCCAAGTGCATTTACAAGGCTTTCAGGGATTTTCTATATATCCTCAAAAGGAGGGATTAAAACAGCAATGTCAAGAGAATCTTACGAAAATAGTGAGTTGATTGATCGAGATCCACTGCTTGAGATAAGAGGTAAATTTGTTGAGTTGTTTGAAGAGGGTTGGCGGCAAAGAGCAAAGGAGTTGCGATTGACAGGAGAACAAATTAAGGAAGACATGGAATTTTTAGCTGCTAAAGCTAGTGAGTGTAAAAAAAGCATTATTAAGGGATAAAATGCTTTAAGCGAAAGGTGGCTTTGATGACCGTAAGAAGAATAAAAAAAGTGAATCATTATTGACGGCAGATAAATTACACTGAGAGATTAAAGTTTATATTATCATACATGTTGAGATGCCCAGATTATTGTAGGAAAAATTTTGTAGTTAGTACTCTGTGATAAATGTTATTAAAGAAAAAGCTGGAAGTTTGTTGTAGAGTAATTTTACTTGGTGATTCACAATTTTTTCAGTCCCGATGGTTGAGACCGATTTCATATTAGTGGAGCAGAGAAAGATTGCTGTTTAGAACATATGACTAGATTTGGAAACGACAAGTAACTTTCCAATTTGAAAACTTGAGTCGAATTCTATAACTTAACTCATCTTGGTAAAATGGGCTTAATACATAAACTTGTTCCGTTTGCCTTACTAACCTATCTCTTAATGCTCGTCATAGCAGGCCTTAATTGAGATTATGGTCTAACAAGCACCGTACGTTGAATACCTTTACGTTTGTGTTTGTTTTCTTTCCGAATGAATCTCGCTTTTTCTGTTTTTCATATTTGAGCAGTTTCAATGGTTTGCGATAAGAATTCAATGGCATGGGTCTCTGTATTGTCATTTTGAATTCCTACGATGCCAGCGATATAGATTCGAAGCTCATCGAATGGTAAGAATATCGAAATTCCGCGGGAGAAATCTGTAACAATTGTTGTTTATGCGAATGACGAAAATTGAAATAACTCGAGGCCGTTACTCTGAATCTGTGCGGAAACTCGTCTGCCGCCACGCCTCTGTCTCAGAGCAGAACTAGATTCATCGTTTACTCTGTTCATGGACAGTCGGAACTATAATCTGAACAACAGAGCAACGAAATAAAATTCGATGGATGGTCATACGCGTTCCTTGAATTAATGGAAAACAATTTACTAGTACTAAATTATGCCTTCCTCACAGCCTCACAGGATCTGCCTGTTAACATGTTTGAGTTAATTCTTTAAAACTTAGTTCAGGAACCAGGTTGTTGGTGCGATAGTGATTAAGATAACTTTGTAAGTCACCTACAAAGTCGTCACACACAATGGATGAAAAAGTATAAACGAGTCGGCCATAACCATTCTCTTGAATCACCGAATAAACAATCAAATGGCAGCAAGAAGCATACGGGTATGCAAGTATTTAAACTAGGATTACAGGGTCACAGCAACATTGAAAGCTTTTTTTCAGTCTCTGAAACGTCAGCAGAAGAGAGAAAGAGAGATCGACCGAACATGGAGGAAGCGCAGGTTTTTTGGTTAATAACAATGACTCTGACATTTCTGGCATTAGTGCCGATGAGGGAGTGCGACATTATGATGTCACCGCCGGGACCTCGCCCGCTCTGTGCAACCCAGTTTTCGCTAGTAAACTATGCTTGCTCATCAGTGCCAATCGTGAGAAGGCCCCCAGGTTTACCTGCAGAGTCCGACGACGAACAACACAGCCATCACCGGCACCGGCACCGTCACCGCCAGCTGAGCCCTCAAGAAGAAAGTTGCTGCCGGTGGGCTCAGGATGTGGATAGCCAATGTGTGTGTGAACTTCTGCTTCACTTTCGCTTGCCCTCATTTCTAATGAGGCCATCGCATCAGTACACGCTCACCATTGGAGAATCTTGCGAGGTCACTTACTCGTGCGGTGGCCCCATCTGATTCATAACTTTGCGCTATCCGACATACCGGTAAATAATTTAATGTGTTAGCGTTCCTTTTGAGGTGCGCTGGAGAAAGAAGCTACGGTCACCTGTCGTCTTTAGTTTTTCGCCTTTTGGTGTCTCTCATATTTGGGTGGTGCGTACTCTCCATTTTCACTGTGCCATCTAAAATTGGGAATAAAGTGAGTTACAAGTGTGTTGGGAAAGCGAGGTGCTTTTAGCGACAATATATACCACGTGATCAATTACAGAAGTGTTGTAAGAATGTCAAAATCTCCAGTGAGTTACCATTAAAAACAAAAACAAAACAAGACGACCCTTGAGAAACTCTAAGAGCAACGAATCAAAGTTAAAACACAAGCACACAACTCACTGAAAGATTCGTGTTTTGGTAAAGCTTGGGTCACCGAGTTAGGGCCAATTGCCGGAGTGATCAGTGATGTGCCTAAGGTTATGATTGGCTCAACGAGAGAAAGAGAAGGGAGGGATTTTAATAGAGAAGAAGAAAGTAGTAGAATTTTAATATTATCTTATTTGGATTTATAAAAAAAAGGGGAGGGAGAGGGAAAAATATTTAATATAGATAATTTTGTTCTTTATTTTATTTAAGATATGAGCATAATGGTTATAACATGACAAAATATGAACATAATGGTTATAACATAAAAAATATGGGCATAATGATCACAACATGATAAAATATTATCCTTTCCCTCCAAATTCTCCTAATTTTGAAGGGGAGGTTGAGGAGGGGAGAGAGGGAAAAAATTTTCCCTCATTTCCTAAAATTTATGTGTTGCCAAACAAGAAAAAATGATTAAAATCCCTCCCCTCCCATCCCCTCCCTCGTACCAATCACACATTAAAGGATGAGACTTTCCGCTATACAACGTCGGAGATTCCAGTATTCTCATGTCTTTTAACCTAAAGTCCTCACTTTGCTCCATTGCAGCTGGGTAATTTCCTTTCACTCTTTGATTTTTACTGTCCCTTGCTAATTAACCGTGCGTGTTTGGTGCGTGTCAATGGTGCTACATTCATCGAGCATCAGTGAATCCGCTAATATATCTATATATGATATATCATAACCATCCTTTAGAATCCGGACAGGACATGGTTATGTGAGTTGGGATGATCAATGGCACTCTCACTGTAAAATTTTCTCAAAAAACTAATCCAAGTAATTAGTTAAATGAAGCCTAGTTTCAGGGCGTTAAGAATGAATGTAGAGTTTTTGAAATGATTTAAAACAATTTTTTAACCTTGATCTATGAAATATAAAAAGATGCGAAAAAAATTTATCTTGTAAAACGTGTTCATGAACACTAAATAACCACATGCAAACAAATTAGAAGTCAATGGAGGATGTGAGGCGGTGCGATTGAAGATTGTGCTGGGAGGCAGTGGGACTACTGCTCTGACCAAAAGCTGAGGAAACTCAACTTGCAGTAATGGAGGGGCGTGTGGGAATCCAAATAAAAAAGGAGAGAAATTAATAAATGATATTATGTGGGAGGAACAAGACAAGAGGAGGGGGGTAAAAGGCCTTTTTATGCGATGCTTCGAAAAGAAAGATTAATTACTTCTTGGACCATTTTTCACTTGAAAAAGAAATCATATCTCACCGTGGGTCAAAGATAAAATACGATACCTACAGCAATACGACAAATTATTCATTTATCTTTCTTTACCTCCCCTTTTCTATCCACCTTCTTTTTCCCCTCTTTATGTGTGTGTATATATCTCTTATGTCCATCCATCTTTCTTCAGTTTTCAAACCAAGCTTTTATATTTTTAGAAACCCCAATTTTATAACTATAAAGAGTAAATCACACTATGTTTCTTGAACAAAAAAATACACTCTTTCTCGAAAACTTTATTGGAGCCATATAAAATTTGTTATGATTTTCCGAGCAAAATACACATTTATTTTGAAAACATGAAAAAGTGATTGTAAAATTGAAAAAAAAAGAAGAAGAGAAAATAGAAAGATGGTTGGGATCTAATATTATTTTTGGGGGAAAAAAGAGAGAAAACGCTTGCTGTAAGCTTTGAGTTTACACACCATCTTAAAGGGAAAATTGTGTGACTGCGAGAGTCACCTCACATGCGGGGAAGGCTTAAAATAGATAGAAAAAAATAAATAGAATGAAAACACGATTAAAGAAAAATTTAAATATAATGTGCATTCTATTATGCGATTTTTAAAAATCAAACAATACTACCTCCGGTCCTAATTATAAGAATCAGTTGACTAATTTAAAAAAATAAGGAAATAAGTTAAGTTAATTTAATAAATAAATGTTGTCTTTCCTAAATATTCTTGTGTTGGCTAAAATTATAATTATTGGAAGGACTATCTTAAAAAAAGTTGGGTAAATATAAAAGACAAAATAGATTGAAATCTTATATTAGGATAAACATAAAAATCAAACGAGATCTTATATTAAAAAAAAAAAAAGTACTTTGTTAAGGTGTTTAAAAAAGATTTTAAAAAGCAGCAGAACAAGTTGCTGCTGTTAAATAAAAAAAA